TAAGGCCAATAGGCAAGTCCTTGGGTGAGGACTGAAAACAAAACAAAGCTTTTGTGCTGCAAGTGAAAGACAATCTATGGAATAAGAAAAAATACATGCAAATCATGTTCGGTAAGGAACTCCTATCCAAAATAAAGATCTCTTACAATTCCACAATGGAAAAATAAACTCAATTCACAAATGGGTAAAGGATATAAACAGACATTTCTCCAAAGAAGATATACAAATGGCTAATAAGCACATGAAAAGATGATCCATGTCCATTAGTCATTAGGGAAATATAAATCAAATCCACTTTGACTCACTAGGATGGATAATGTAAAAGACAGACAATAACAACTGTTGGTGAGAATGTAGAGAGACGGGAATCTTCTTCACTACTGACAAAAACGTCGGTAGGGCAGCCAGTTTGGAAAACAGTTTGTAAGCTCTCCAAAAGAATGGAGCAACTCAAACATCCATCAGTGGGTGAATGGATAAACAGAATCTTATCTCCATACAATGGAACATTGTTTGTTAATAAAAAGGAATGAAGTACTGATACGGTTACAACAGAGATGGACCCAAGCAACAGACTAGGTAAAAGAAGCCAGTCACGAAAGACCAGGTAACGTATGATTCCACTTGTTCAAAATGTCTAGAATAAGCAAATTTACACAGACAGATTAGTGGTTGCCAAGGGCGAGAGGGGGTGGGTGGCAGTGATTGCTAATGGGTACTGAGTGCTTTTTGGGATAAAGCCTGTGTTTTAACATGGATTATGGCAATGGCTGCACTCTTTAAATACACTAAAAGTCACACTAGCACACTCTAAATGGGTGCAATGTCTGATAGGTGAATCACGATGTCAATAAAGACGTTAAAAAACAACAAAAAAGGTCGACCAGTGGTTGTGAGACCCTGCGATGCTCACTCTGCATGACTCATTCCAGGTAGCCTCCTGGCATTGCCTGCAGCACAAACATGCACACCTGGTGCGGGACTGGGGGGCAAGCAAAATTAGAGCACGTCTTCCGACAGCCATCTGGTCTGCATGATGCAAGCAACTGCTATTTTGGGAATGCAGCGCTGCAATGGGTGTATGCCCTAACCTGCTGGAAGGGCCCAAGGAGCTGGCTGCTGCCTGGAGCTTCTGGCAGCAGCTCTTGCATCTGCTGGGTGGGTAGGAAAGGGGCCTAAAACCGCACAGTAGAACGCTCACAGCTGGCTCTGAGATCTTCCTTGTGACAAAGCATATGCATGACACTGGGCGAGGTCTTCCTCACTCCTGAACTCCTCCCCGCCTCCCACTCCCAAGTAAAGTCTGCTATTCTAGGTCAACATACTTTAAATGAAGGTGCATTATGAATCAGCTAGAATTACATAATGATCCCAAGGAAGGACCTTTCAAAGAATTATGTAAGGGAGCATTGACTCTGGCGCCACTTTCTAACTGTGTGGCCTTGGGCCAGCTCCTCTATCTTTCTGCGTCTCAGTGTCTAAATCCGGAAAATGGGAATGGTAAAGGCAATTGCTTCCTAAAACTGTAGTGACGATGAAATGAACTGACCCATGTAAAATGTTTAGAATAGTGTGCGAAATATTGTAAATGTTAAGTTTTTTGGTATTCTTATACATATTGACAGGTAAACGTCATCTTTTTATGGAGGAAGACACTCAGCCAGGCAGTGGTAAAGTGACCGTTGGGGGCAGTGACACAGCGGGCACAGACTTTAGGTCTCTGATTCCTCACCTAGTGTCCTTTCTACTAAGGCGCATTCGTGCAAACCACGTACATGTAATGGCCCTTGACTAAGTTTTAGGGCTTGAAAGATACAAATCACACTCACACGGTGCCTTAGCCCCATGTCTCACATAACACGGGTGTTTGTGAAACACCTAATCCATTCCCTTTCCACTGCAGGTTTAATCTTCTAGTATCTGAAGGGAGGATTTGACACTAAGCCCCAGAATGTCCCATGTACAGCTGCTCAAAAGACAGGGTGGCTGGGACTGCTGACGAAAAAGCACGTATGCAGGTTTCCCTGCCATTCTCCTCTGAAGGAGCACAGGGTACTGAGCCTGTGCAGTACATTAGAGCAAAGAGACTTTTCTTCCTTTCTCTTCCTGTATTTTAGTGGTAGTTTCATGCAAGAAATATAGATGTTATTCTTGAGGCTTGATGTTGTCAACTTTTAATAATGGATACCTATTAGTTTAATTTAAGAGGCAAAAGAAGTTCACAAAAATAACTATGTTACTTGGCAAAATACAAAAAAGTGCGGCCAAGGTAAGCTTTAAACTTCTAAATGATCTTATCTTCCCCTCCACCCCCACCCTCCACACAATCACTGCAGTGTCTAGACCAGCCTATGAAGCCCTAAAACATCAGGCTTCCCCCTAATCTCGCCCCTCAGCCCCGACCCTGGCTTGTTAGAGGCTCACTCTTCTCAGCTGTCCAGCCATGCGGGTCTGTTCTTCTTTCATTTCCCCAAACTCATGGGTCTCTATCCTGCTGTAAGGCCTGCATACTGACATTCCAGTACCGAGAAAGCTCTTCCTTACATCCTCCACCTGCACCTCTGCCTTGGCCTCGCCACCTAACTTCAATTTATCATTTGGGATCTCTTAAATCTTTTCTTCAAAAAAGCTTTCCTCAATGATCTGGACTAGCCTCTCCTTTTCCCCTCTCCCCCAATCACACACACTTGGAACATGCATCTGACCACTTAGCCAATGAATGTCTTTCTCCTCCAGCCCCTTGACTGGAAGCTCAAGGAAAGCAGGGGCTTTGTCTGTCTCCTCCAGTGTCACTTACCCTGTGCCCACCTCAGAGTGGGTGGTGAAGGAAGTTAACAAGGCTCTCCAAGGGTTCAAAGGATTAGCTGCTATACGAACTTCCTAACTTTTCCACTCGCTCAAATTTGATGAGGCGTTCCCTATCAAGCTGGGTGCGTAACAGGAATACACAAACTACATGGGGCATTATGTTCCCACTTTGGAGAAAAACTCAGAAAGAACAAAAACTTAGATTTGGGATTACATGTATTTTAAAGTTGCTGTGTGCAAAATCATAAGAAAAAAAAGGTTACTTTTTAAACAGGCTTCTTTCTTTTGGAGAGACTAACTCACATAGGAGGGCGGAAGAAACAAGAATGCATTAATTCTCCCTAGGCTATTACTGTTCCTTTCCAAAGGAAAAGCATCTCCTAATGGCGTCGAATGTGTTGAACCATAATTCTAAGTATCTACACCATGCAGGAAAAGTGGTGTCTATAAGCAGTGTGCCCACCATGAGGCAGCCCTGGGCAGTCAAGGGAACAAGCCGCCTGGTGTGAGGACAATGACCCCTTCCTTTGGGCTTGTGCCTTGGCATTACTCACAGAATGAACTTCTTTTACTTGGAGAAGAAAAAAAGTAGATGCAGAACAGATGGCACAAGCGTCACATGAGAAAGATTCCAAAAGATCCTTCTAGAGAAATTATGCTCTATTAAAGGATAACACAAAAGCAGTCAGGAAAAAAATAAAGGGCTTTCCATTTCAGAAGGTAGGTACTATACCCAGAGACTAAACTTTCTACATGGAGAGAAGAGTTAAAAGAGAGAGACAAAAACAAAAACAGGAGGGGTGGGGAGATGGAGAAAAAGGAGTGACTGTTGAGAACGAAAGGAAAAAGTTGCAAAGCACATACAATGGAAAGGGGTGACAGAACAGCTACTAAATTGTACTCAGGTATAAGATCCATATATCTCGGAGTTTAAAGATACGTCAAAAGGAAAATTGCCTGATCAAGCACCATCCCTCTAGGTTAGGAGAGCGCCAGCCCTGGGCATTCACTGAAGCCCGCACGAATTACCTATATCTAATGCAATGGCTTGACATCAGTGGAGGTCCCTGAAGAAAAGGCCTGGTCTTCCGCAACACCGCTCCTCACTCAGTCTCGACTAATGATTACAGGAAAAATAAACAGAGCTCACTTCTAACCACACTACGCACAGGAAAGAGAGTCTGGGTAAACCCAACAGGTGCACTTGGCTGTGCTGTGTAACCTCATCCAATTCACTATGCCCACTATCCCTCCCAGACACATCTGTCCCTAAAACACCCCACAGCATTGCCGCACTACGACCCTGAAAAACTGTCCTGTCAGAAAGGATGAGAAAATATACCTCCCTGATTCTAAGGTATACTGGAAATATTTCTGGTTTCACACACATTGCTATTAGAATTAAAAATGCCTAGCTCATTTCCCATAGCAAAAAGTTTAATTCCAAAAAAGTGCCTAACTTAGTTTCCAGCTTACAGAGGCTTTTTTATTAAATGCTGCTCGCACAAATAATTTTTTAAAAAGCTAGTTCTGAATCATTTTCACAGCTGAAGAGTAGTCCTGACTTCAAGATATGAAGGAAGTACTTCCACAAATTGGAAAGGAGTGGGCTACTATTTTTAAGCCATTCTGTTCTGCAGGGCAAGAAAACAGCTGATAGTATTTGCATTGATTTTATGGTACGTTCTGAGTCTGTAAAACAAAAAGAAATGCTCAGCGATAAAATGAAAAACCTTGTGCAAAGCTTGGAGCTCTGAAACTGTTCAGATGGAACTGTGACAACTAGGTCTAAAGGTGTCAAGGGAAAGCATTTGCACTGGGGACTTTGAAAAAGGTCCTTTCCCCTCTGGAATTCCAGGTTACTATGGGCATGGCCAGGATATATCAGTGCCTCCCTCCCCATGACACCGAGGGCATCGTGCTTTTCCAGTCCCACAGATCTCAGGATTTCGTAGGTTTCCTTGAAGTGAAAGGGTAACTTTTGCCCTCACCCAGTCCCAACAGGGGAATGTATCCGTACTGCACGGGGGACACTGTCCTGTGAGTGAAGTCCTTTGAAGAAATATTCCCAGTCTACACAGGTCTCTATGGTCCCAGGAGGGATCGTGACCCTGACCCCCAAGGGGCGCGTCTCGAGGTCTCCCCCAGCTGCTCAGACAAAGGACCGAGCCCCTGGCGTGCCCCCCACTCACCGCTCAGATAGTTGGTCCACTTGTACAGCACCCCCTCCATGGCGCCCGCGGCCCCTCCGACTCTGCCGCGCTGGGGCCAATGTCCCTCGATCGCCAGCCCCCTCACTGCTCCAGACTCCAGGAGGCGACAAGCACCGGCAACAGGGCCATCTCCCGGGGCTGCCGAGCCGCCCACTCCCAGTGCCCGGGTCTGGTGCGGGGATGCCCGACCAGTCTCACATTGTCAGCCCGGGGGCGGGGTCACTGCGGCGGCCTCTGCAGGTTAGCACACAACAGGGGCTGGCGCGCCTCCACCAGTAGATTAAGATGCTAGGTGGGCCTGAGAGGCGACCGAAGCCTTCAAAGTGCCGCAAGACGGGCAGCGGGTCGCTGGCGGCGCCACCACGCGCTACCTGAGTCCTCGACCTGCCGGGCCCACTGCCCATTCGCGCATGCCCAGTGCACCGTTCGCGTGTCTGTTCCTAAAATCCACTCCGGAGTTTGGCTGCTACAACGAGGGCGGAGCCGAAGGAGCCACGAAGCCCACAGGGAAATTGAGTCATGGTGGGCCGGCTTGCAAGAACATGAAAGCTTTGGGCAAAAATGGAGAAGGGAAGCCGGTGGACAAGTGTGGGACTTGCTCCTGACTGTTAATGGTGCCGTAGATGGGTCCGGTCCCACCTCCCTCTGTTCGGGGGTTAACATGGCCCCTTAGGGTGGCCCCTGGTTTCTAGTTCCCAGGAGATTTCAAGGCTGCCCAATTGATTCCACACACTCCAGGTATCCACCAATAGGGCTCAGGGAGATGATGGGAATTTCACGACAGAATGCTGTGTGGCCCGTGTAAATGAATGTTGTAGAAATGCTAAGGCCTGGCTACTGGAAATGTGGTCCGGGGACAGTAGCACTAGCATACCTAGGAGCTTGTGTGTCAGAATTGCAAAATCTCACCTCTAGCCCAGATCTCCGGAATCGAAATCTGCATTTTAACAAGATCCCCAGGGGATTCCTATACATATGAAAGTGTGAGAAAGTTCTGTCCTAAGGCTAAGTGAGCAGGGAAAATAACTATAAATTGGGTAGAAAGAGGAAGTCACGGAACAGTGTACAATGCGTTTTAAATTATTTTTGGTGTATGTCACAGAAGCATACACCAAAATGCTAAGTTTATTTGAGGCCTTAGAAGCGTTTTTATTTCCTTTAGTGCCCTGTTTAGCAAATAAAAATACAGAGCAACCCGTTGTTTATCTTAAATTTAAATTTAATTCAGTTCCTGTATTCTAACTGGAAACCCTCCTTTAGTGTTTTCCAGTTTCTTCCGAGTCTAGTACAGTGAACATATTGCTTTTGAAATTAGGCAGAAAAAATGTAAAAGTAAGATGAGCCTGTGTAACTCGTAACTGTGATTCCTTTCTTCTTTAAAGCGGAGGTGTGCATGTGCTTATCCTCGATGGAAGCTATCGACATTCTGGATTAAGAACAACTGAGTCGTAAGTGATAAATTATTAGTATCCATAACTTTATGCTGAGTTGTATAATGCATCAGAAGACCTGATTTGAAGGTGGAGCTCAACTGCTTTGGGGCTAATAACCTTAAGCAGGACACTTAATCTCTCCTAGTATAAATATACTTATCTTTTTTTTTCATATAGGATACAAGAACCTGCCCTACTGGCGGTGGAGTAAGGGTCACTCACGGGAACGCGCTTCGTGAACCCGACAGCACTGTACGTCTTCATTGTTTATACCGTAAAGTAAATAATAAGCAATAGCAGGGGTGTTAGCCTGTGGAATCCTGGGGCTTCTCCCCTACGGCGAGAAGAAATACTTCAGGAAATCTCTACCATTTCACAAGGCCCCAGGACTCCTCTCATCACGCTCAGCCCCTGTCTTTACACGTGTAAATCTGCCTGGGGAGTTTCCAGTTTGCTCCTCGCGGCACCCCTCCCAAAATTCCAAGTTGTGGAATTCTTTAATCCTCAGGACTCTAGGGCCACTCCTGGTGGTTCGCCTCTGGCCGACTCCTGGTTGGGCGGGTTGTAAATTATATTCCTGCAGTATCATTGGCTTGAGAGGCGCCTGAGGGACAGCAGTGCAAGCCAATAGGAGTTTGTACACGGTGTACGCGCTATCCCTGCCCGGGATTTGGGTTTAACTCTTTAGAGGTGAGTTCGAAGTCCGTGGGAAAGTTGCAGATAGTAAACTTGCCACGTCTGCTAGGAAGGGAGTCATGAACTTGCTAGAGGCCGTTGTCTTTAAGTCATCAACTACGTACATTCTTAACCCTTTAAGGTCTGGGGTCCTTTCTCTGTTTTTGTAGGAACTGCTTTCCTGCTCCAGCAACATGAGGCTTTTCCTGTGGAACTCTGTCCTGACGCTGTTAGTCACTTCTTTGAGTGGGGCTCTGATCCCAGAACCAGAAGTGAAGATTGAAGTGCTCCAGAAGCCGTTCATCTGCCATCGCAAGACCAAAGGGGGGGATTTGATGTTGGTCCACTATGAAGGCTATTTAGAAAAGGATGGCTCTTTATTTCACTCCACGTAAGTAATTATTCCCCTCAGGTAAAACAGTGAAGAACCCACCCATCCACGCCAGCTTAACAACAGGAAAGGCAGCGTGTACCAAGTTTTACCACTCTTAAAAACAAAACAAAAACTGAAATATCTTATTTTCTTCTTTGGGGAAAGGAAATTGTTTGAAACCCATCTTATATAAGGAGACTCTTGAAGATCTTATTGGAAACATGTAGTCAAGATAAAGCTGTTCGTTTTTTTATTGTAAAAATTAGACCTAGAATCTTCATAGTGCAGAATATTTTGGGGTATAATAGAATGGTAAATTTTAAAAAGCTTAAAGGAATTCTCATTCTCAAACTCCATTCCTGAGGGAAAATGACTCAGTTTAATTTTTAATTTGGTGTCAGTGAAATTAGCTGACTTAAAACTTTTCAGAGCAACTTCCTGAGCAGGATGCACAATCATTTATTTGCCTGTTGTAGGATATGTTAATGCTAATTTCTTGACTTATTTAACTTTTGTTCTGACACACGCCATGGCACAGGACCATGATTTATTTCATCATTTGTCTCTTTTTAGAAATTCAAAGACTTAATTGATGTGTATGGGTGTGGTTATGGATGATTAATTCTTTACCTACAGTGAAGGATTTTCAGGTGGTCACGCTATCATTATTTCCGGTCTATAAGCAAATTGTAACATACAGAAGTTTTAGAAGTGTAATGATTTACAATCAGGGACTGATTCTACTTATTGCATTCCAAAAGTATTGTTTTGAGTATTTCCATAAAGGAAATAAAGTATTTCCTTTATGTTAGGCCCTGTGCTTGACACTGGGGTGATTCAAAAACCTTGGCTTCTCTCTATCATGGTCCATTCATTTATCTATCCATCTATCAAACATGGGCATTCAGATCTGGCCTGTTGCCAGGTTTCGGAGAAGTGACTGGCTCTCTTTCTGAGCTCTGTTAGCCCTTGCAAAAGGTTCCAAAATGACGTCTTACCACAGAATTCTCAACAATCCTGTCTTATTGTCAAGGCCATTGCCACAGTGGATGTCAAAGAGTAATCATGATTTTCATTTTAAATTTCCAACTATATTCTTACTTTCAGTCTGATCTGTTTTAGATCCAGACTGATTTCTTTCAGGACTCAGAACCGAAACCCCATGCGGACTGTGATATTAGCCATGGGACATTATCTAGCAGTTTGCCACTAAAGTCTAGTAGTTGATGAGGGGACTGTTGTCACACAGCCTCTGTGTAAATGGTCAGGAACCTCCTACCCAGAGAATGATGAAGAAGTACCATAAAGCGGTCATTTTATAAAGAATGTTTGCCATTTCTAGACCTATAACCTATGAGGTAAATAAGTAAAGGTTTAAATCCTTTCGCCGTGACAAGAAATGTGCCAAAACTGTAGTCAGTGCTGGGTGGTAGGTAGATTGTTTCTCCCCTTCTTATTTTTTCTACCCTTCCCAGATTTTCTGCAGTTGGCATTTATTACTTTGATCTGGGGAGAAATGAAGGAAAAAAGGAAGTAATGGCCTGTACCTAGACTTAGTGACCATGGCACCCAGGAAGCCTAGTAGACTGGCTTCCCTTGCTCACCTACAAGACACTCTTGTACAGAGCACTCGCCATTTGTACCCAAAGGGAGCTGAGTCTCAGACACGACCTGGCCCTCCAGGCCTCCAGCAGATCCACAGGTGGGTTTTCTTGGGCTGGCCTCACTTCAACTCTTGAGCCAGGATATCCTGACTATTCTCTTCTTCTTGAGCCCTTGAAGAGCCACCCCTCCAGGCTTTCCTGCATCACCCCACAGTAGACCCCTGCAGAGAGAATGGGTCCAGGGTCTGAGTGGGGATAAAGGGCAGAAGAGCAGGCTTTCCCAGCCACCAAAGCCATCAGCAGGCTGTATATAAGGAAGTTTGTAGATAGGCCAGAGGACACTATGCTCCTGACTCTCATGGTATCCATGTGGGTATGGACACGTGCATGGGTCATAAATTCTTTCTAGTCTCTCATCCTCCTTCTGAAACTCACCACTCATAACTAGTTTTCTCCCTCTTCTGCACCCAGTAGCCTTGCTGGGACAGCATCACTTGAGGGTTAAGACCTTGAACTTTGTAGTTAGGTCAAACGCTAGCACACTTAACCTCAGTTTCCTCATCTGTACAATACGGGATAATGGCACTTACCTCATATGATCATGGTTAGAGTTAAAAGAGGCAAAACATTTGGGGTAATACCTGGTATACAGTAAATGCTCAAATAACTGTTGATTGTTTTTATTATTATGCCCTTTGCACTTCTCTAGCTGAATCAACAGTGTGAAATTTGCATTAAGAAATACAGACAGTGGATTGAATCACACTATAAAGTCGATTTGATTTTTTTGTGTGTGTGTGTGTAGCTGTTTTTGTTAATTTCCAAATTTAACCACTATAAGTGGGAAAAAAATGCACCACAGCAATAAAAAAGTTACTAAAATATTCTAATGTGTTTTCTTTCTATCATAGTCACAAACATAACAATGGTCAGCCCATTTGGTTTACCCTGGGCATCCTGGAGGCTCTCAAAGGTTGGGACCAGGGCCTGAAGGGAATGTGCGTGGGAGAGAAGAGGAAGCTCATTGTCCCTCCTGCCCTGGGCTACGGAAAAGAAGGGAAAGGTAATGACGCTTCTACAGTTTTCTATAGCACTCTCCAAATGAGGAGCAGCAGTTAGTGTAACTACTATGTAATCCCCCCTAGAAGTAAATTCAGCACTTGTATTTCTTTGGTAAATATAATTATGTCTTGATTGTCATTCAAAATGGCCAGTTAAAGTCATGGTATCTAAATGATAGAGCTAACAATGAAAAAGGTCCTGGAAACTTCAACTCAATTATTAACATTGTTCACCAATATGATGGCTTCTTTTCTGTGTGTGTGTGTGTGTGTGTGTGTGTGAGAGAGAGAGAGAGAGAGAGAGAGTGTGAGAGATACAGTATGCATAACATACTATTTACCATTTAAGCTATTTTAAGTGTGTGTTCAGTGGTATTAAGCCAATTCACATTGTCATGTGAACATCACCGCTCTCCATCTCCAGAACTTTCTTGTCCTCTCCAACTGAAACTCTCCAATTTATTTTCACAATGTAAAAAGAGAGATAACTCAGCATAAGCATTTTGATGAATTGTGGTTTTGAAATATAGATGATTAAGGCATTCCCTGCAGTTTTGGGTGTGAACTGTGTGTGACACTCAACTGAAGTTTCCACGACAAAGCTTATATAGTTTTGGGTAATTTAACATAAAACAATAATGGAGTGACTAAAAATGAGTTTAGGACAGGGGTGTCAAACTCATGTTCACCGGGGGCCACATAAGCCTCGTGGTTGCCTTCAAAGGGTGAAATGTAAGTTCAGGACTGTATACACGTAACTACGCCTTAACTTTAAAGAGTTGCAATTAAATGAGGCCCTTACATTTGCAAGGCTGATGTGTCCCCTGATGAGAATGGTTTAGGAGAACAGAAGTAGGCAGGGGAGCTGGTCCAGGGAGCCCTGGTGCTGTTTGCTCTGGAGCAGGCACGTGCACCTGCTGTCTGGGTGGGAAGCCATTCGGCTTCCTGAAGGGCTATTTCCCAGAGACCAGAAGCATAGGGTTGTGCATGTATCCCATGATGCCTTGCTGTAATCTAACCTAAAGGAATAACCAGGTATCGGAAGAAAGTTTTGTGAATAGCGATGTCCATTACCGTGTTGTTTCTAATGGCAAAAGAATAAAAATTGGAACTAACTTAAGTGTATATTGAGAAGGGTTTATTTAGCAAGATAAAATATGGCCCAGTTACTTAAAAATGGCATTTCAAACATTTAAATAATTACATCCAAAATATGTATGCTATAATATTATATATAAAATTAGAAAATAAAGGTACAGTATATATCACGTTATGGTAGTAAGTATTAGAAAAAAGTGATACACATACAAAGTGAATCACAAAGAAATAAGTAAGAATATTAATAATGGGGCTGGGAGTTGTTTTTATTTCTAGTTCTATCACTTCCAAAATCTCTGCAATGGGCACATATTACCTACATGATGAAGAGAAAAAGTTTTAAGTAGCCCTTAGAATCAGACGAAGGAGCAGTCTGATGTAATAGGAAGACGGACTTCACAGCATCCCCAGGTCTAAACCATTCACAAAGTGGGGGCCCTACTCCCAGTTTCCTAGGAAGAAAATAAAAGTCTCACACATGAAGTATTGTGTGTTCTAAAATGGAACTCGAACTTGCTATATAAATCTTATGCATAGACTGGGATTTACTAACCACACTCATTCTTTCTTTTCATGATAATTCTCTTAAGAGAATCAAGTATGTAGAAAATGTTCTCTGATGCTCAGACATATCCTTTCATCTTCCTGTGTCTTTACGTCTCACCTTTAATATTTAAACCTACAGTATCAGTCCATTAGTCCATGAAGTATTTCTCTGCACTGCATGGAGCTGCATTTCACTTTATAACCAGTAGGGGTCTAAACCTGAGTCATTTCCTTCAAACTGTGCGTCTTGAAACTAATCCTGCTAACATTTAACAAGATTTTTAGTCCTGTAGTACCTCGTTTGCATGCCACCTTTGGAAAGGTACCAGTTTTCTCTCCGACCTCAAGCATGCCCCCTCTCTGTCTAGATCTGGAATGGCAGCACCACAGCACACAGCGTAAGTTTTGCTCTCTTCAGCACTTACAAGTGCCCTTTCCTAGAACTCTGGGGGGTGGGGAGACTGAGACATGCTTGTAATGTTTACCAAGAGCTGTACGTTAAATATAGTTATAAGGAGACAGGTAAAAAAAATTGTCTATATTTGCCAGGGAAAAAATTTTAAGGCCTCTGGGGCTTTAAAAATGCTCTTATCACTTAAAAAATTTCCTTCTCAGGAATGTGTTTTAATTTCTCCCCTTTCCTGAAATTTCTTTCACTTTTGTATAATGTCCTATATAAGCGGGGGCACTTTCCATCTTTCTGGAATTGTTCATTCTTTCTGAATTGTTCTTAAAGCCTTCAAGAGAATTCTATCATAGTAACATATATTGAGAGCTTACTACTTATCAAGCATCATGCTAAGTGCTTTGCATGGACTTACCTTCCTTCATCTTCCCAACAGACTCTGGAGGTGGGCGTGACTGCCATTAGTACTTTACAGGTTGGAAAGCTGAGGCCTAGAGATGGGCAGAAGTGAGCTGCAGTCCTAGGCAGAGGGATGCCAGAGCTTGCCCCACTGCCACCCACCTCCAGTGGTGGAAATGGCAGTGTTTATATATATGTCTAGGTCAAGAATTTCTGATCCAAATTAGTAAACCACTATTAGTAACTCTGAAACATCCAAAGCACTTTGAGTCATTCTTGACTTAAGTATATTTGAAGTTTTATACCCAGGCCATTAGGCGGGTGTGTTTGTGTGTAAAACAGTTTTCTAATTGCAAAGATAAAAACAGACTGCTTTTGATCTATTAGTTTGGATTCTTCCTTCTTTATTCTATTTTTTTTTTTTTAGTAAAATAGGGTTGTAAGTAATTTCTATTACATGCGATCATCTTAGGAGGGCTCTTCATTTAATTCAATTAAAAGAATAATTTGTCCAGTACCCTAAGTTTTCTCTCATCAAAACTTTGGGATGTTTTTGATAAAACTGCACCCCCCTCTCTCCTCATGTTAGGTAAAATACCCCCAGAGAGTACACTCATATTTAACATCGATCTCCTGGAGATTCGAAATGGACCAAGATCCCATGAATCGTTCCAAGAAATGGATCTTAATGACGACTGGAAACTCTCTAAAGATGAGGTGACGGCTCCTTCCTCCTGCTCTTTCTCTCCTCCCTTCTTTCTGGTCACTTTTCAAGAAATATGTTTTTAAAGAAAATTTATTTTTAACTTGAATATAATGTGATTTCTAAATCTTCTTAAAATGCCTGTGCTATGAAAATGGACTTTTTCATAGGAAATCATTGTTTTGGAGAGAACTGTATTGAGACTTAAAAACACACCATTTATTCTTTTGCTTTTTTTCTCTCCCTAATGTTTAAGGATGACTGCATCCTGCCCTTGCCCCGAGTTCTGTTTTTTTTTTTTAGATTTTATTTATTTATTTTTAGAGAGAGGGGAAGGGAGGGAGAAAGAGAGGGAGAGGAACACTGATGTGAGAGAGAAACACTAATCGGTTGCCTCTCCTTTGCACCCCTTCTGAGGACCAAACCCGAAATCCAGGCATGTGCCCTGAGTAGGAATCGAACCAGCAACCTTTGCTTTGTAAGATAATGCCAAACAACTGAGCCACACTGGTCAGGACTGTGCTGAATTTTTGAAAGCGTTCCCATTTTGGAGTTACTGTATTAGAAACATAAGATGTTTTGAGAAATACCTCCTGTGGACAGTTTTCGTTTAAACCTGTAGACTGGCTGTTAAATGCATTCTGTAGTGATTTCCTAACAATTAGCAGCAAGCAACTCACGTGCTCTGTTTTGTTCAGATTGGCACCCGAAGTTTTCCACGGCAAGAGACCTTTCCCAGCCCCCTCAAAGTCCTGGTGTTTGAGTAAGGAAAAGGAAGAAGTCTTTCTATCACTTACTTAGGCTTTCCCAGCCACAGCTATGCACACCTGTCTCAGTCTCGCTGGCTGCTATGGGGAGAGAAGTGAAGGCAGATATTTATCCCCTCCGCCTTTTAAAAAAAATCTACCTATGCTTTCCTTTATGGCTTGGGTGGTCAGAAATCAAGTCCATTTTTATGCTTTGATCCATTTGATTTTAACGGTCAGCCAATGATTAAGTCTTAAATAAGCTACATTGTTGTGAACCACTGGGGCATGATCCACAGCTACTAAATTTATAATACCTTATACTGTTACCAGTCACGGGATATTTTTGACCCAAGATAAATTTTTAATTTCCTTTACTTAAAAAATATTGAATATACAACCTATTCACATGGTTCAAAAGATCATTCCAATTAAAAAGATGTTTATCAAGAAGGCCTTTCTCCCATCCACATCTTCTACTGTGTGATCCACCCCTTTTTGGATCCAGTTGTATTAGTTTATAATGCATTCTACTAGTATTTCTTTGTGCAGATTTCACCAGACATGAATACATACTTGAGTTTCTTCTTTTGTACAGAAAAAGCGATAATACTCAGCATCTTGCTTTATTCACACAATACGCCATGGAGATATATTCTACATTAATTTATAAAACTTCATCATCTTTTCTAAAATTTACATTGTGAGTTACTATTTTTTTTTTCAGAGAGAGAGAGGAAGGGGGATAGAAAGAAGGACACATCAGTTTGTTGTCCCACTTATTTATGCATTCATTTGTTGTTTCCTATATGTGCCCTCACTGGGTAGATGGGAACGAACCAACCAACTGGGTGACCCGGCCAGGGCAGACCTTCACCAGTTTTCCTTTTACAACTGCATTAAATCACCTTGATCTTAAAAATAAATATATACTATATGTTTGCCTGTTGGTGGTAAGAGGAGGCAAGAGGATTTGAAATTGCTGATCTAACAAAAGGAATAACAGGAATATGATTAAAAATCAAAATGCAGGTTGTATTCCATTATAGTGAACCTGGTGTTTAACTGGGAACAGTATTTTGTTCCATCTTTAAATACCTGAACAGAAGTGGAAACTTTAGTCTACGCACCACTCATTGGGCTGGGTTTTGCCATAATTTCTGAGGTCGGAAGGTCATGGGACGTGGTCATAGCCAGGTCCCCAGCATGCACTATTCCCAGACACATTTAAATTAAAAATGCCATCATGTCATCAGATTTTAGGACAAATGTCTGGAATTCTGACCCTCGTTAGGAAATGTGATGCAGATAATTGAATGCACTGAAAAGACACCGTCTTTCAAATGCTTGGCTTTGTTTAAACGCAGGTTGAGAACAGGTATTGTGCTTGAACTGGGTGTTTTTCAGATGATGGGAGGCCGATTGTTGCCACTAAGCAATATCCTATGTCTCTACTGTAGCAATATAGCAACAATTTTTAAGGGAAAAAAGCTTTTGCAATCCTTTTACTATCATTAGCAATGTACCATACAGTCGTTGTTCAGTAGTTGTTATGTTTCATGAAATGAGCCACCAGTCAAGTCTGTGATACTGATCGGCTCAACGTGGGTATCTAATGAATTGGAATTATTAACCAGACCTGTTATTTTGTAGGTTAAAGTGTATTTAAAGAAGGAGTTTGAAAAGCATGGTGCGGTGGTGAACGACAGTCATCATGATGTTTTGGTGGAGGATATTTTTGATAAAGAAGACGAAGACAAAGATGGATTCATATCTGCCAGAGAATTCACATATAAACATGATGAGTTATAGAGATATGTCTGCTTTATATATAGCATCCGCCATTAAAGAGGGGCCGGCCGTCTTTAAAGAAAGTCTCATTTTTTACCATTGTTTTGTTCTGTTCTTTGTTTTTTTGTTATTTTTATGTATTTTTCTGAATGTTATTTAAAGAACCCCTTGGATTTCTAAGTACCCATTTCTTTCTGGTAAGTTATGGGGAAGGAAAAAAATGTACTTGTCTTTGACTAAGACGAATTCTGGACCATTTTCTAGTTTCACATATGATGTCTTATGGCCTACTTGTAATTTTTAACTTATAACTGGGACCCTGTCCAACGTTAAGTGCAAGTGTAGCATAAATCAGCACCGGCGGTTTCTGCTTCCTTCATTTCCTCTAAGTTAGATACTGGCATTTGCAAAGCCTGTTACAGTCACCCAAAGCTTGCTGCTTCCATGTTGTAATGCCCTTGAGTTTCTGCTTGAACAAACAAGAAAATGGTTGTTGAACTCTATTTCTTAACTGCTTTACTGAGGAGATGTGTAATGCTAAAGTGATGAACAAAGTTAACAACTAGTAACCGTATACACTGAACGTTCTACCTAGGACTTAAGCTATACAGGCTGTGGCAGATGCAGGTTTACAGTCGTTCATAGAGAAAATAATACAATAATTAATACATAATAATACAAGAATAATCTCTGTGTTTCGCATACTTACAGCTGTAAACCCACTTTTGTCCCCACCCTGTAGGCGGTTTGGTTCCTGATTGCTACTGACTTTTCATGGTAAACAGAACAAACTATTTATGTTTGTTTCTTAATAAAATGTGTCAAAATATTGTAGTAAAGGTAGAAAGTTGCATTTAGTCAGTGCTTACTTTTTAAGACTAACAGATCACCCTTCCTGGTTTTTAATTAATAATCTATAACTCGTGTATTATCCTATAACACTGTGTCATGATTAGCCAATCAAAATTTCCCTATTACTGCTGTGTCAGAAAAAAGGCAGACCACAGCAGCTGCTATTGAATAAGGTCTATTCTGGGTCAAAAATTTTGATGATTTTATTATGTCTTCTTCAGTTGGCTTTTATCCTTAATAACTTTTTAAGAGGGTCCAAATCCCCATTTACTAAGAATAGTCTTTATCCTTTACAAAGTGATCACAAATACATCATTGACTTTAATTCTCATTGACCTGAAACCCATGAAAAAAGCTGACAGATCTTCATGTACCTATTTTGTAGATGAGGAAATTGTCATTCAAAGAGATCGACTGTTGTGATTCAGGTCAACAACTAACTTGCCGAACCATATTTCAGTCTCCTAGTTTGTTATCAGTCTACTACCCTCTACAATTGAAAAGTAAAAATTGCATTCATTCACTGGGTCTGATTTTCTCTTGAGTTTGCTTTCCTCTGTTCTTTTGTCTTTGGGTCCTTATCCTTTGAAGGTGCTTTACTGGCTGTTTCTAGTGCCTTAGAATGCTCCCCTTGATTCAGAACTGGCTCTGGTGGTATTGAATGATCTTGGGGTCAGCAATCAACTGCCCTATTAAAGCCCTGCAGTGCTATGAAGTTCCCAGTATGTATCTTAGTCTTTTCATTCCTGTTTAGCTCTAGATTTTTTTTGTTTTCTCTTTGAAGAATCATGAACATCTCTTCCATCATTGATAGACCTTCAGTGATTATATATTGTTCTCCTCTCTGACACCTTTCTCTGATTAAATCAGCTATAGCTAGAAAACTCTTAAAGTCACGGCCATTTCCCTGAACCTGGAGGAGTTGGAAGTCACACCACGGAAGGAAGTAAGGAGCTTGTCATGTGGTGCTACTTTGTAGAAACGTTACCCACGATGGTCTCAATGGCAGAGCAAGGAAAGGCAAAAGAATTTTAATCATTCAGGCAGCATATTTCCTTATTTCTGGTGACTCTGTATCTATTCCCACAAAAACCTTTAGACACGTGTGTGTAATGGAAACATGTAAGTGGTGATGGTTGCCTTGAAGTTCACTGTCTTTGTGGTTTGGTGGTCTCTTTGCACCTTTTCATTGTGGAAATTTTCAGGCACAAGCTGAGACTCCACTTGTACGTACTTGGACTCATTAATACTGCTAGGTGTGTCATTTAAATTTATAGTGCTATGTTATGGTATTCTTTTCAAAATAAAGGTTATTTGGGAAATAATTGGTTTCATGAGAAATTCTTCACCAATTTCTTCTGCCCTTTATTGATTTTCTTAACTGGTTTTCTAGGTTTTATATCAAAACCAAGTGGGGAAGGTAGATGGGGAGTTTGGGGAGGGGTAGAATGACATTTTGAACGTGCCTGATTATCTACTCTGTTCAGATACATTTGTAAAGAAAGGTGTGATTTGGTTTTAAGTGTTTTGAAATAAATAAGCATTAAACCTTCAGCATTGAGGGCAACAGTTAATAGTGAATTTGGGGTACTGGAGAAAGTGTTTGTGGGCTTTTTGTTTGTTTTTTTTCACACTTGTTTTGGCTTGGGATTTTATCATGTGTCATGAGTGGGTATTACGATGATTAATGCCTACTGAGTAAATTAGTCCTATAAAATACCTTATGTAATTAAATAAAATGCTGGGGTGCTATAAAAATAACAAAATTTTAAAATAACAAGAAAATGATTTTGAGATGGGCAATTAGCTATTTAAAACTTTCCTTGTGGAAATGAAATTTTATTCCTCTTATTCATGATACAGGATATTATTGCTTACCTCCATAAGGCTATTTAGATACGAGCTTTCCCTCCTCACTGATCTGAGTGCGTGGGTGACTTCTCAGTGTCCAGAAATTGCAAGAGGAGAAAAAAGGAACTTGGTGCAATGTTATGGGAAAAATACATTTCTCACCTTTTCATTAAAAAGTATCATTGTATTAATAACTCTACTAGAAGAGAAAAAGGATCCTTGGGCTTTCCAAAATTATTCCTCTATGTTATTTTTTTTTTCAGAATTACTTAGAGCCCACTCCTTTAGAAGAATATACAGTCAAGAGATTTTGGAAAAAAATAATAGTGTTCTTTTTTCCAAAGATTATGTATGTGTGTGCATGTACAATAACATGTACTGTACTGTTATATACTGTTTATACACAGTTATATACTGTGTATAAACTATATATTGTGTATATGTAACATTTTCTACTAAAGATAGTTATTGAAATGCTTTCTTCAGTACATAATTTCCCCTCCAAAAACTTGTAGTTAATGATAGTGTGATGTTGTTTTACTTATAATGTAAGTCCTAGAGGAGAACATAGGGAGGAAAGTCTCAGATATTCCATGTCACAATATTTTCACTGATCACTGATATATCGCCTAGGGCAAGGGACATAAAGAAAAGAATAAACAAATGGGACATCAGCAAAATGTAAAGGGAACCAACCATATAGGAAAATATATTTGCAAGTGATAACTCAGACAAGGGTTTGATTTCCAAAATATATAAACTCATACGACTCCACTCCAGGAAGACAACCCAATTAAAAATGGGCAAAGGACCTGAACAGGCACTTCTCCAAGGAGGCCATTAAAATCACAATGAGATAGCACTTCATACAGGTCAGAAAGGTCATTATAAACAAATCAACAAACATGCTGGCAAAGTTGTGGAGAAAAGAGAAACCTAGTACACAGTTGGGAATGCAGACTAATGCAGCCACTGTGGAAAACAGTATGGAATTTCCTCAAAAAACTAAAAATGGAACTACCTTTTGACCTGGCAATTCCACTGCTGAGATTATACCTTAAGAACCCTGAATCACCAATTCAAAAGAACATATGCACCCCAATGTTCATAGCAGCACAATCTATAATAGCCAAGTGTTGGAAGCGACCTAATTGCCCATCAGTAAATGAGTGGATCAAAAAACTGGTACATTTACTCAATGGAATATTACACAGAAGAAAGAAAGAAGCAGCTCCATCCTTTGTGACAGCATGGATGGAACTGTAGAGCATTATGCTAAATGAAATAAGCCAGGTGGTGAAAGACAAATACCATATGATCTCACCTATAAGTGGAACCTAATACACAAAACAAACAAGCAAGGAAAATATAACCAGAAACATTTAAATAAAGAACAAACTGACAGTAACCAGAGGGGAGGTGGGAGGGGATAAAGGGGGAAAGGGGGGAAGTGTCATCAAGGAACATGTATAAGGATCCATGGACAAAGCCAAAGGGGGGTAGGATCAAGGGTGGGAGGTGTGGATGGGTGGGGTTGGTGGGAATGGTGGGAAAAAAAACCAAAATGAGGTAATGGATGTTTAATTACACTTACTGTGATGATCATTTGGTAATACATACAAACATCAAATCACTATGTTGTCTACCTGAAGCTAATATGTTAATTACATCTCAATTAAAATTTAAAAATTAACTAGAAATTAATGAAAGTACTTATGAGTGTAATCCTGTATGAAGAAATATAGTTTTGTTTTTTAGATCTGTCAGGACCTAAAGCTTCATGGTTTCCTCATTAAGTTTATCTTCATATTAGTGCCTGTAAATAAGCCCAGAAACGTTTCCATAGTACTTTTCCCCTGATACAGGTGACTAGAGGGAGTTTTTGTATCTCTGCATGACAATGCATAAAAGCTGAAATAACCACACCCTACTCTCCACCCCCTTTTTTTCTGGACAAAGAGAAATCTATGCCTCCCTCTGTGGAAAAAAAAAACAAAACAGAAAATCTGGTATACTTTTATTTATTAGCTCTTAAATCTCTGAACATGGCTAGACAGAGTATAAGCGACTGTAATAATTGCAGGCTATGTTAGGTGATTGTTTCCTCTTCCAAAGTAGCTCACAGAAACCTTGTAATTTACTCACACCTATACCTCACGTGACTGACAGACCAATTATTAAAATCCTTATTGTTGTTTCTTGATGTTCTCCATATTTGGCTATTTTTCCCCTTATCTCTATTTGTGATGCTTCAACAGAAGCACAGTCTGTCTCCTGTATACAAAGCAGAGGCAAAGTATATTGCTGCTGCTTAATACATGTTAATAATAATATAACCAGCTTCTTCATGCAGACCTTGGGGAAAGCAGATGCCTCTTGAGTTTCACGTGGTCCTGGTTGCTGGCCCTGAAGCCCTGAGGTTGTGTAGAGACACGTCACTAGGCTTCAAAGCCAAGCAGGTGGCCTGGCAGGCTCCCAGACCAGTGCTCCCTGCTGTCACCAGTGGAGGGGTGTGTTGTGTAGGTATCATCATCTAAGGAAAGGTGACACAACATGGCCATAGGAAGGCATAGAACTGGATTTGTTTTCTAGCAGGGACTCACTGAGTGCCCTTAAACTAGGTCTGGCTCTCAGACTTCAATGTGCAAGAGAATCAACTAGGGACTTCTGGCCAAGATGAAGGCATAGGTAGATACACTATGCCTCCTTGCACAACCAAAAGAAGGACAACAATTTTCAAAACAAAAAACAATGGGAACTGACAGAACATCAAACTGTATGGAAGTCCGACAACCAAGGAGTTAAAGAAAAACGCTCATCCAGACCAGTAGGAAGGGCGCAGACAGGCAGCTGGGCAAAGAGGACTGGCGACAAGGGGGCATCTGGAAGACCAGGTGGGCAAGGCGACAGCTGGCAGAGCAGGCGGTCCCATATTCCTATGCAGATAAACCGGGAGGAGCAACCGGAGAGCAAGGCAGAGCGCACAACCCAGGGCCCCAGCGGGGAAATAAAGCCTCAAACCTCTGATTGAAAATACCTGTAGGGATTGAGGCAGCAGCAGGAGAAACTCCCGGCCTCACAGGGGAATCCACTGGAGAGACTCACAGGGTCCTAGAACATAACAAACCCATCCACCAGGAATCAGCACCAGAAGGGCCCGGTTTGCTTGTGGGAAGCAGGGGAAGTGACCGAAAACTGGTGGAGAGCTGAGCAAGTGGCACTGTTTCCTCCAGACCCCTCCCCATGTATAGCATCGCAACACAGTGACGTGTTGCCCCCCCCCAACACCTAAGGCTCCGCCCCTTAGGTGCGCTGAGAAAAAAAAATTGGCCCAAATGAAAGAACAGATCAAAGCTCCAGAAAAAAAATATAACTAAGCGGTAAAGAGATGGCCAACCTATCAGATGCACAGTTCAAAACCCTGGTAATCAGATGCTCACAGAATTGGTTGAGTAGGGTCTTAAAATGGAGGAAATAATAAAGGTTATGAAAGTGAAATAAAGAAAAGTATACAGGGAACCAACAGTGACAGGAAGAAAACCAGGACTCAAATCGATGGTTTGGAGCAGAAGGAAGAAATAAACAGTCAACCAGAGCAGAATGAAGAAACAAGAATTCAAAAAAAATAAGGAAAGGCTTAGGAATCTCTGGGATATCTTTAAACATTCCAATATCCGAATCATAGGGGTGCCAGAAGGAGAAGAGGAAGAGCAAGACATTGAAAACATATTTGAAAAAAAATGAAGTAGAATATCCCCAGTCTGGCAAAGGAAATAGACTTTCAGGAAGTCCAGGAAGCTCAGAGAGTCCCAAAGAATTTGGACCCAAGGAGGAACACACCACGGCACATCATAATTACATTAGCCAAGATTAAAGATAAAGAGAGAATCTTAAAAGCAGCAAGAGAACAGGAGACAGTTACCTACAAAGGAGTTCCCATCAGACTGTCAGCTGATTTCTCAAAAGAAACCTTGCAGGCAAGAAGGGGCTGGAAAGAAGTATTCCAAGTCATGAAAGCAAGGACCTCCATCCAAGATTGCTCTATCCAGCAAAGCTTTCCTTTAGAATGGAAGGGCAAATAAAGTGCTTCCCAGATAAGGTCAAGTTCGAGGAGTTCATCATCACCAAGCCCTTATTATATGAAATGTTAAAGGGTCTTACCTAAAAAAAGAAGATAAAAAATATGAACAGTAAAATGACACAAACTCATAACTGTTAACAACCTAATCTAAAAAAAACACAAAACCAAAAACAAATTAAGCAAATAACTAGAACAGGAACAGAAATGGAGATCACATGGAGGGTTACCTTGGGGAGGGGGAGAGAATGGGAAAAAGGTACAGGGAATAAATAGCATAAAAGGTAGGTAGAACATAGTCAGGGGGAGGTTACAAATAGTATAGGAAATGTAGAAGCCAAAGAATTTGTATATACGACTCATGGACATGGACTAAAGGTGGGGAATGCAGGTGGGAAGCAGTGTGCAGGGCAGAGGGGAATAAAGCAGGGGAAATGGGACAACTGTAATAGCACGATCAATAAAATATATATTTAAAAAGAATCAACTAATAGCGTGACAAAATGCAGGTTTCCTGGCTCCAGCTTCAGTGACTCTGAGTTCAGTAGATCCTAGAAAAAGTCATGTAGGAATATTTAATAGCATTTAAACGCACTGGGCTACAGTTCCCTTGGTTGGATTAAATGCACAATAAGGCTCCTTTGTGCTCCAAGAGTATGCGTACCAAGGCTCTGTTCTATAGTATTATGTGCCCCAATTCCCTCTCCTACTATCCATTAGCTCTCGTGGCAAACCACAATCATTAGCATATCATTCAAAAGACAGGCGAAAAAGTCTCCTTTCCTTCCCTCTATCCACTCAGCTCTCCCTGGTGGCACCTACTATTACAGTTTCTAATATAGCCCTACCAAGATATTCTATGCATTTGCAAATAAGAGTACAGAGGAGTATTTTTTTTCTTCCCACAAATGATAACACATACAATGTTTTACACATGGCTTCCCTCCCCTGCTTAGTACAGGCCGGAAATCTCTCCTATCAGTTCACAGAGAGCTCGCTCATTTTTTAAATAGCTGGACAGCATTCCATTGTATTTGAATAGTTCTTGCTTGAAGGATATTCACTTCCAATCTTCGCCAGCACAAATGGTATATAGCCAATGGGTAACCTTGTACTCATATCATTTCACAGCCGTGGGGCATCGTAGGTAAGTTCCAGAAGTGGAATCCTCCGAAGATTTGTATATGTGTTTGTTTGGGGAGATGTTGTCAATTGCCCTCCATGGAGGTTATACAACTTTTTGATTTTGGCTAATCTGACAGGAGGAAAATGCTACCTTGTATTTGAAGGTAAGTGAGCTTGAACAACTTTTCATGAGCCTGAGTGGTACTGCATTTGTTTTCCTGTGAACTTTGTCTTTACAGGATAGTCTTTTTTATTAATTCTGTGTTTTTGAGTAGAGTCTGTGTTTTGTTAACAGATGGATGGTCATGTCCAGACCAGTGACCTTGATGCCAGTGAGCGCGGGCACACACCCTCACACACACACCCCTTTGTCACCTGTGTTATTAACCCGAGGAGGAAATCCGGGCTTTGCCACTTTTTATGTGACCTTGCGTGAGTTACTCAACCTCTTTGGGCCCATTGCCCAAGTACAGGGCATAGGGTCTGGCATATGGACGCGACACAGGATGGCACCGTGAAAACCAGGGCATTGGCTCGGACATGTGAGTCGACAGAGTTCAGGACGCGTTTCTCCGTTGGGGGCGGGACGGGGGAGGGGGTGGAAATCTCGCTTAGGCACCAAAGCCCGCAGGTGGCAACCAAACGGCTGAGTCCTGGAGAGGCTCCCGGAGGAAGCGGGGCCTGGTTTTCTTAAAGCCCTGGTTTTCCCTTTAGTGACAGCTGCCACCCCGGCGGTGACCAAGAAATAAAAATCGAGCAAAGAGCCACTTTTGCCGCGAGATCCGCCCCGCCGGCCACTCCTCCAGCCGCCAGGCGCTCTGCCCGACCAAGCCGAGTGCGGCGCTGCAGCCCGGGTGGCCCAGACGCGACTGGCGCTGCGCGGCCCCCGGTCCCGGGTGGGGGGAGGCGGGGTGGACCCCGCGGTCACGTGAGCCGGGCCAACTGTGAGCGGGGGCGGCGGGCCCGAACGCAGGGAGTCTGAGGAGGGGGAAGCGCCCGACGGCCGCCTCCGCCCCTGCAGCCGCAGCCCCGGATGTCGCTGCAGTAGTCGCGCCCGCGGCGGCACCCGCACCCTCGGCGGCCGCAGCATCAGCACCGCAGAGCCACTCCCTGAGCCCGCCGCCCGGCAGGTGAGCCTCGGCGGGCACGACCCAGAGCGCACGGCGTCGGCAGCCGCTTCTCCCCGCAGATTCCACTCCCATCCGCCATCGCCGTCTGCTGCGCCCCGTCGCCTGCTGTCTCTCCGAACCCGCGGGTAGCACTTCCTGGGGCCCACTCCTGCCCGGTGCTGGCTGGGGCAGGCCAGGGTCTCGCGGGGAGCAGGGGATTGGTGGTCTCGAACCGGGGTTGCGGGTGACTGGGGTTTATGGTCTGCGGGGGCGCAAAAGAGGGACGGCCCACCCTGGGCGCGAGGACTGCAGCCCGCTCGGAACCCGTCCTCAGCGGTCCACACCCCGACCCCATCCTTGTCCCCATCTGCCTTTAACTCTCATCAAACTCCCCAGGCTGCTTTCCCTGTGTTTCCTGTTCTCGATATCGAAGTTTCTGCCCCGTTGGGGCATGTGCCTGTGCGCCCCCCACCCTCGCCACCCCTTGGATCGCTCCCAGGGTTCGGGGATCGCCGGGGCGCGGGAGCGGGCCTGGCACCTTCCCCGGAGGTAACGCACCTGCCGCGCGGATGGGCGCGCGCGAACATGGCTGCTTGGCGGGCCGCTGCAGGTGGCCCGTCTCTGTCCCCAAGTCCACCCAGCGCGCGATCCCGGGTGCGGGGGACTCCCTCCCCTTCAGGGCAAACGCGCGGGCTGTCGCCCTCCTCCACCCCGGCCAGGATTTGCCACAACTTGTCCTCAAGCCACGCCCGGAGCGATTCTTGGGAGGAAGGGATGTCGGGGCAGATTAACGCGATGGCGCCGGGGGCCACTTATTGGTGGCAGGCACTGAGGCATTTCTGGACGTTGGTCTACTTCAGTTCGCTTTTGCATCCTCGCTTCCCTGTCTGTCCAGGGGCCGATTATCTGGCGACCACACTGAGATAAGTGTCGTCTGCAAAGCCGGAGGAACGCTTGAACTTTAGAGAATTGACGATAAAGGTGAAAAATGTCCTCTAAACCTGAGTCCATCTAAGGAAGGTGTCGTTTGCTGCGACTCAAAACCGAGTCAGGGTTCCGTTAAATAATATGCGCTTTCTGGATCTGCGGTTTAACTCTGTCCTGCAAGTGTCTTGCATTAGGTGTTGGGAAGCTTCCCGGTAGAGTGTGTGTCTACTACGTTCCAAGCCTGAAGAGCTGGTGCATCAATCGCGGAGAAAACCTGAGTTAATTCAATATGGCAGCAGGAAAAAGCAGGCCAGCCGGAAACAGCACAGCCGGCGGCGAGCGGGAGCTGCCCCTGACTCAGGCCTCGGCGGGGGAACTGGGGGAGGGGGCGGGAAGCGAGGCTTTCCTGGGGGTCGCTGCAGCCAGCCCCGGGGGCAGGTGGCAGCGGGTGGGGGAGGGTAGGGAGTTCTTTTGTAGCAGGCTAGATTTTAGGGTACTGTAGGGTTCTGGAAGGGTTAAGTGGGAAGTTTGGGGGGCTGTCATTTATTTTCTCTAACTTAATCAAAGGCTGGTGCAAAGACCTAATTACAAACTCTCCGTGATTCTGATCTGATTTTCTCCAGGTTCCACTAAAGTGGATTTATGTGACTGCTGATGTCTGTTTGATGCATAACTTCAGTGTTGTTTTGTACTCACAAAACCACTGGCTCTTAAGAGAGATGGGTATCTAATGTCAACATTACACCTGACAAATACTAGGTTCTTAGGGCAGGTTTTGTGGCAGGAGCAGCCGGACCACTGTGACCAAGCACTGAGGCACCAGGGGACGGGAGACTCTTGAAAGGTGACTCATGTTAGGATGTCTCTCTTTTCTTAAATAGCCTTTTTTTCCCACCTCACTGCTGTCTGGCCACCCATCTTCTCACTCAGGCAGAGGAGATACATGGGGAGACATTTGTTTTGGGGATAAGAGGACAGAGGAAGATTAGCACAAAGGTCAGGAATGGTGATGCTGAAAGCAGCCTGAGAACCCTGTGTTAACCCATTTTTACAGCCTGGGAAGCCCAAACCGTCAGGGGGCGGGGACCTAGCCCAAGGTCATACAGCTGATTGGCAACTGGCAGTGAGAACTGAAAGCCAGGTCTTGTGGCTCCCCCAGCTCAGGGTTGCACATGCCACCTTTCAAAGCCTGGGGGAGAACGGCAGACCTGTCATTACGAGGGTGGCAAGCAGAGCAACCTGAAAACAAACTGTACCACGAATTTTAAAAGTCTACAGGTTTCCTAATTCAGGAATTTAGCTTCTTAAGCTGCGTGTGCCTCTTCACATTTTGCAGTGACTAAACTGCTTCTGTATTTAAACTCCAAAAACATTAATTTAGTCGTAATCTTTGAGGTGAGAAGCTCATTCTCTGATTAAAAATTAGTTGCTAATGCTTGTGGAGAATCAATAGGCCATTAAAAAAAGAAAGAAAGAAAGAAAGAAAGCAAAATGGGACATTTAATAGCTTTTGGATGTAGTATCTAATTTTAAGTACAAGGAAGTAACAAGCCTAGTTTAAAATACTTTGAAGCAGCTCTGAAGACAGGCCTTTTCTATCATTGGAATTTGAATTCTCCGACTCATACCAGTGACCCCAGATCTACTAAAGCAAAACCTGAAGTTGTGCATGGGTTGGTATTTGTGCAGAGGTGGGGAAGGTGTGGGAAGTATTTCTTCTGGGTATCATGTAGGTCCAACCCAGCCATCTGCAGAAGGACAGGTGGGCTGGTTGCAGGCAGCAGGGAGAATAATTGGTGATGGTGAAGCAGTTAGAAGCTAGGTCTGACTGGATACGAGGAAGTGAGGACAGATGCTGGTACCACATGTACCATTCAAAAAAATAACTGCATTAGAGCATGAATGTGAAGATTGATTCATTTAAATTCCCCTGATATGCCAGAGGTATTTAAAATCACAAGTTTTTAAAATGCATAAACATGTTATTTGTGTTTGTTGGAGAATAGTAAAAAATATAGATAAACCAAAGTTATTTTTTAAGAATCACCTATGATCCTTTGGTCCAGCAATTATCAGTCATTATGCCCTAAGAACAACCTCAGCCATTAGAATCTGGATGATAAAGACCTTGAAAACATGTTTTTAGTTCTATTTTTCCATGGGTTGAACAAAGCGCTTATAGGTGTTTAGGGGCTCAAAATGCATGCTGGTGCAATTCCTCAGATTTCTTAAGAATCCTAATTAAAACGATGTGCTCTTCTCAGTATTGTTTGCTTCTCTCGAAGTAAAACCTTAGTGTATTTAAAAATTGCACTTAGCAGTGTCCCAGTGACCTGAAAGAATTAAATGAGATGTGTTAAGATGTCCTTCCTAAGCGCTAAAGTCATCAGATTTTAAAAAATAATGAAAAGTCCAGCCCAGCCTGGGTGCTCAGTTGGTTGGAACATTGGCCCTTGTATGAAAGTTTTGCGGGTTTGATCCCTGGTCAGGGCACATACCTAGGTTGTGGGTTCGATCCCTGGTCTGGGTGCATACAGGAGGCAACTGATTGATGTTTCTCTCACATCCATCTTCGTCTCTCTCACCCCCTTCCTCTATCTCTAAGATCAATAAACATATCCTTGGGTGAGGATTAAAAAAATAAATAAAAATAAAAGTGCAACAACGTGAGCTTGCTAGAAAGATTTAAAATGTATCTGTACACATATATGTATATACATACTGATATAGTCATATATATGTATACATGCTTCTTTAGAAAATAGAATGTGATGCGTTTCCTATTGGTAACATGCAACAAATGGCTGAGGCATAAATGGGCATTTATAAAGTAGTTTTTAAGTCCATTTTGCTGGATATAAAGTAACCCTCTGGTACCAGCAAGATCTTATCGCTACTTTACTTCTTCTGTAGGAAATGAATGTTCAGCTAATTTTTTGGATAGGAACAGAGTGTATAACACCATTTTAAGAATTGGAAGATATTTTAGAATTCCAGTTTACAGAGTTAATAGGTACGTATCACATCGCATTAATGAGAAAAGCTGAGACTAGACCATGCATTCTTTAGATGGGAGGGAAGACAGATGGTGGGAAGAGGAAGGCCATGATTCAAAGCAACCCTGCCAAATGAGTGGGCACAATGGCAGCAATGTCGAAAACGAGGACAGAAGGACCCTGGACGCGGCTTGCTAGGTAGCCTCCAACCTTCCCCACAGAGACTGCTCTGGGCAGCTAACTACACACCTGCTGCTCCACGCAGTCTTCTTGCTGTATCTCCATTTTCATGGTATGTCCGGAACCCTGATCTTTAAGAGCAAGTTAAGGGAACAAACCTTCTTAAAACGTTTCCCTATTTTGATACTTTGCACTATTATCTCATTTAATCCCCAAAACAGTACATGGTCAACAGCGTGGCCATATTTTACAGATGCAGAATTTAGTAAGCACAGGAACTGCACCTGAAATTTGTATTTCATTAATGGGATGCAAATCATTTCCTTTCTTTATATTGTTATGAAGGATGAAAAACTGTCTTCCAATCTGCCATGTGCTGGAAAATAGCTTTCTTACAATGAACTTGATCCAACTATATTTTTCTAATTTGGCTAGCTTGAGTAAAAAGGAATCCTTTTTGTGCTGTTTGACTACTCTTTCCTGCATTGAAAAAAAATTGTAATCACAAGAAATGGCCAATCGGCTCATCTCTCTCTTTCCCTCACTTTATTTTTAAATAGTTGTATATATATTTGTATATACATATATTTAAATAGTTGTATATATAGGTGAATAGTTGCATATAAATATATATAGTTGAATTGTGTATTGTTGTATATACATTTGAATAGCTTTGTAAAGCTGTATTTATCATTGAACAGCTGTTTGTAGCTTTATATATAGTTAAATAGTTGTACATAGCTATGTATGTAGCTGCACAGTTGTATATAGCTAATTATGTAGTTGAATAGTTTCCCTTATTTGCAAATCCATAAAGAGTTCTTGCAAAAGAGATAGACACGCAACCTGAATTTTGTTTTAAATGATGTGATATGTTAAATGCACCAGGAGCGACGGACAGAGCAGTGGATGTGGTGGAGACTGTGCAGCTGCTGTTTGAGTTCACATGTGTCCCAACGTTGAATGCACACAGATTGAACAATAAGCCATGTGTGTCTGTACGGCTGTTTTCCAAATGCACCAAGATTATTGCTACTTAGTACATGCATGTTCAGTGAAAGTGTTACTAAATTCATAGCATGTACCCATTGCATATTTTTTCCAACCAACTGCAATGACCATTATGTGGGAGGGTCCATGAAAATTTGTTGGTGTTGAAGAGTTGGGAACCTCATATTAGAATATTTTGCATTGTAGGTGCATTATAGGTGTATAGGTATAGTGATTTGAAGAACATATTCATAATGTAATCAGTTATTCCCTAATTTATCCTATGAGTAAGTGTAGATTTTGGAATATAACCTTCCATTGGAGCATAGAAAACTCTCCGTTTCCTTAGTTACTAGTCTGTCATGTGAGTCATTAAATTAGACTTCCCTTTATTCATGTTTCTTACTGTGACCATCTCTTACGATGAGGCAGAATCACATGTGTCCGAAAGGTAAAATGAGTGCCTGTTGCCATGGCTGAGCTTTGGGGTTCCCCCAGCCCCCCAGTCTCTGCCTCAGCACAAGGCCATATTTATTAGCCACAGTTGGGGTAATGGATTATTGTAGTTGTAACTCTTCCTTTAAAAAAATATTACAAATTCCGTATTTTTGTGTGGGGAATTTGAAAATGCCAAGATGTATAGAGGTTAAGACATTGTGATTTCACAACCCAGAGAGACTGTTACTCTTAAAACTATTTTTCATTTCCTGAAGATTATTTTTGCATCCTCAGTCCAGATAATGCACATAATTTGAATGATAGCATGTATCATTTGTATGACCACTTCATATCCCCAGCTTAGTCCCGTGTATCTATATTTCTCAACTCTCCACGATAAGTACAACTGGCCAATTACATATCATAAATTTGTTTTATTTTTGACTTTTATGATACTTTTGGGGGGAGGGAAATGTACCAGCAGTGGTTTATTATGATACAGTTGCATAAGGTTAATTAGCTGGCATTTTGGTTTTGCAATTTTTAAATAGACACTCTTTTCTTTTTTCTTTTTTTAAAATATATTTTACTAATTATGCCATTACAGTTGTTCTATTTCCCCCTTCATTCCCCTCCACCCTGCACACCCCCTCCCCCACCATTCCTCCCCTTTAATTTATGACCTTGTGTCTCAGGTTCTTTAGATTCTCTATTTCCCATACTATTCTTGCCCTACCCGCTATCTATTTTCTACCTACCATCTGTGCTACTTATTTTCTGTACCTTCTCCCCCCCCTTCTCCTTCTCCCACTCCCCTGTTGCTAAACCTTCATGTGATCTTCATTTCTATGGTTCTGCTCCTGATCTAGCTGTCCTCTAGCTGTCCTTTTGTTTTAGGTGTGGTTCTTAATAACTGTGAGTTTGCTGTCCTTTCACTGTTCATCTTTTTTATCTTCTTTTTCTTAGGTAAGTCCCTTTAACATTTCATATAGTAAGGCTTGGTGATGATGAACTCCTTGAATTTGATCTTATCTGAGAAGCACTTTATCTATCCTTCCATTCTAAATGAAAGTTTTGCTGGATAGAGCAATCTTGGTTGTAGGTCTTTGTTTTTCATGACTTGGAATACCTCTTTCCAGCCCCTTCTTGCCTGTAAGGTCTCTTTTGAGAAATCTGCTGACAGTCTGATGGGAAGTCCTTTGTAGGTGACTGTCCCCTTAGCTCTTGCTGCTTCTAGAATTCTCTCCTTCATTTTAATCTTGGCTAATATAATGATGATGTGCCTTGGTGTGTTCCTTCTTGGGTCCAACTTCTTTGGGACTCTGAGCTTCCTGGATTTCCTGGAAGTCTATTTCCTTTGCCAAATTGGGGAAGTTCTCCTTTATTATTTGTTCAAATAAGTTTTCCACTCGTGGCTGTTCCTCTTCCCCTTCTGGCACCCCTATAATTCGGATATTGGAACGTTTAAAGATGACCTGAAGGTTCCTAAGCCTCTCCTCATTTTTTTGAATTCTTGTTTCTTCATCCTTTTCTGTTAGGTCATTTTTTTCCTCCTTCTGGTCCACTCCTTTGATTTAAGTCCCAGTTTCTGTTCCATTACTATTGGTTTTCTGTGTATTTCCCTTTATTTCAATTAGTTTAGCTTCCATATGTTCCTCTAATTTGTGACTAAAATCAACCAGTTCTGTGAGCATCCTGATCACCAGAGTTTTGAACTGTGCCTCTGATAGGTTGCAATTTCTTGTTCACTTAGATTTATTGGCTCTGGGGCTCTGAGTTGTTCTTGAGCCATGTTTTGATCTGTTTGTGCCTGTTACGTATGAGGAGCGGAACCTTAGTTGTTCACCAGGGCGGGGCCACCCAAGTCACTGATTTGTGACACTATGTAGGGGCGGGGTCAGAGAGGGACAATGGTGGCTATCTCTGCTGTTTCTCGCTGCTGGGGCCTGCATGGTCCGTCTCACGACCACTAACTCCTTCACCGGTTTATCTGTGTGCGAATTGTGTGACCACGGTCCGCCCTCAGTGGGTCCAATGCCTTGTACCCTCAGTGGGTCTGCCAGCTTCTCCACATCTGGGATCCGCCCATGGCTGCTGGCACACCTGAGTCGCGTGCCTGGGTCAGTCCAGTGGATCTTTCCTGCCCGACCCCGCTCTGCTGCTGGCTCTGCCCCTCTTACCGGTTTGGCTGAAGGGTTCATTGTTGTCAGACTTCTGTGTAGTTCAATTTTCTGTGGTTTGGCTGCGTTTTTGTTGCTAAAACTTTGTTGTTTTTAAACTTGGTTGTGTGAGAAGGAGAAGTGCTTCCACCTACGCCTCCATCTTGGCGGAAGTCCCAATAGACACTCTTTTCATTTCCTCTTGCTAATCACTGAGACTGCAGTAATTTGGGAACAAAACAACTAATCAGTTTGTGATCATTTCAATCAGGATCCAAAGGATATTTCTGAGCAGTCCTACTGATTCAGAAATATTTGGCTACTTGAAGTGATGTTTAACTTTACTTTCTTTCTGGTTCCAATTCTTACTTTCTATTTAAGACAAAAGATTTTCCTTGCATCTGTGTTAAATGAAGGACAATTTATTTATTTATTCTTGTTTATTCTATTACAGTTGTCCCAATTTTCCCCCTTTGCCCTCCTCTGTCCAGGTCCCTCCACTTCCACAGGTCATCCCCACACTGTTGTCCATGGGTCATTCATACATGTTCTTTGACTGATCCCTTCCCCATCTTTCCACCATTCCCCTGTTCCCCCGTTTCCTCTGCCAGCTGTCAATCTGTTCCCTGTTTCCATGTCTCTGGTTCTTTTTTGCTCCTTAGTTTATTTTGTTTATTAGATTCTTCTTATAAGTGAGATCATATGGTATTTGTCTTTTACCACCTGGCTATTTTAGCATAATACTCTCCAGTACCATCCATGCTGTCACAAAGGGTAGGAATTCCTTCTTCTTTCTTTTTGCTGCATTGTATTCAGTTGTGTAATGGTACTAGTTTTTTAATCCATTCATCTGCTGATGGGCACTTGGGCTGTTTCCAACACTTGTCTATTGTTAATAGCCCCACTATGAACATAGGTAGGGGTACATAAGTTCTTTTGTATTGGTATTTCAGAATTCTTAGGGTATATTCTCAGCAGTGAAATGGTTGGGTCATAAGGCAGTTCCATTTTTAATTTTTTGAGGAAATTCTCCACCGTTTTCCACAGTGGCTGCACCAACAGTACATGAGGGTTCCTTTTTCTCTATAACCTCACCAGCACTTGTTGTTTGCTGATTTGTTTATGATGGCCACTCTGATCAGTATGAGGTGATATCTCACTGTGGTTTTATTTTACATCTCTCTGATGGATAGTGATGTTGAGCATCTTTTCATATGTCTATGGGCCATGTGTATGTCCTCCTTGGAGCAGTGTCTATTCAGGTTTTTGTAAGAGAGGTGTAAGCAGACATCCTTCCTTGTTCCTGATATTAAGGGAAATGTCTGTAGTTTGTGCCCCTTGAGTATGATGTTGGCAGGAGGTTTTTCATATATGGCCTTTATTATTTCAAGGTATACTCTCTCTATTCCTACTTTGCTAAGTGTTTATCATAAATGGGTGCTAGACTTTATCAAATGCTCTTTCTGCATCTATTGATACGATCATGTGTTTCTTTTATTTTGTTTATGTGATACATCACATTTACTGATTTGCAAATATACCATCCTTGCATCCTTGGAATAAATCCCACTTGATCATGGTGCATAATCTTTTTAATGTATTGTTGGATCCAGTTGCAGGTATTTTGTTGAGGACTTTGGCATCTGTGTTCATCAGAGATATCGACCTGTAATTTTCTTTCTTTGTTGTGCCTTGGCCTGATTTTGGGATTAAGATAATACTGATCTTGTAAAAAGGGTCTAAGAGTCTTCCCTCTTCTTGAATTTTTTGGAATAGTTTGAGAAGGGTAGGTGTTAGTTATTGTTTGAATGCTTGGTAAAATTTGCCTGTGAAGCCATCTGGTCCGGGGGCTTTTGTGTGTCGGTAGTTTTTTTATTACTCCTTCAGTTTTGCTAGTAGTTATCAGTCTATTCAGGTTTTCTGCTGCTTCCTGATTCAGTTTAGGAACATTGTATGTTTCTAGAAATTTACCCGTTTCGCTGAGGTTGTCCAATTGGCATATGGTTGTTCACAGTCATTTCGTACAGTCCTTTGTAAAACTGTGGACCGCTGCATGAATTTGCATGTCATTCCTGTGCAGAGCTGTGCTAATTTCTCTATTGTTCCAATTTTAGCAAAAGCACTGCTGAAGCGAGCACATTTTTTTGTTTCTAAAAGGTATTTTTAAAAAGTTGGATGAGACATTATATCTTTAAAGTAGTGAAAAAGCAAAGCATTTAAATCATAACCAACAATCCTAACCTTCCTGATTATCCTGTCGTCTGAGTTCCCAGTTTTAAAGCTGGAGACGGAGAAGCACACAGCCTCCAACCTCCCTGTTTGTCCCACTAGGGACGAGGAAACCCTGCTCTCTCAAGTTCACCAGAGATGGGGTTCACCCCCCTTCACTGCGATGGCAGAGAATTGAAAAAGGAAATTGTTCTCCTGAAAATAAAATTGAGAGGCAAGATGGCAGAATGTAAATGCCCTTTGAGGCTGGTGAATACCATATGGGGTTTATTGGACCAAGAACTCACCTCTTCCCCCAGGGCACTGATGTTACAAGTGAAACCGATGTTCCTCCCAATCCCTCCTGCCTCAGTAATCCTTCTTCAGATGGGTACCTACAACCCAGATAAGGTACTCACAAGTAGTAACTACAAGAAAACATGTGCTGTATTAGATAAATCCAGTGCTATTTCTAACATTAAAATATTTTTGAACAGCTTATCATGGGCTTTACTTTTTAAAAATTATTGATTATAGCCCTGGCTGGTATGGCTCAGAGGACTGAGCCTGGCCTGCGAACCAAAAGGTCATAGGTTTGATTCCCAGTCAGGGCACGTGCCTGGGTTGCGGGCCAGGCCCCCTGCTGGGGGCATACAAGAGGCAACCAAACACTGATGTTTCTCTCCCTTTCTTTCTTCCTCCTTTCTCCTCTCTCTAAAATATTTTTTAAAAGTTATTGATTACAGAAAACTTTAACCATACCCTAAAGCAGAGAGAAAAGTACAGTAAAAACTGCTATGTACTTGTCATCGGCTTCGTCTGTTATCACAGAACTTTTCTCATCTGAGGTCCTACCCTTCCTCCTTACCCTGAATTGCTTTCATTGTATCATTTCCCATGGAAATATTTTAGTGCCTCTAAAAAAATATGGGCTTTTTATTCTGACAAAACCACAGCATCATTATAGCTCAGCAATTAACAATAATTCTGTACCATCATCAAAGAGCCAATTAGTGTTCACATTTCCCGAATTATCTTATAAAGTTTTTGTACAATTTTTAAAAATCAGCATCCAAATAAGTTCCATGTATTGCAATTGGCTGATGTATCCGTTAAGTGCTTTTGTCTCTTAATCTTTTTTCTTTGCGGATTTCGATGATGTTGTTGAAGAAATCAGTTTTGTCCTAGAGAGTTTTTTATAGTCTGGACTTTGCTGTTTGCATCCCCATGGTACCATTTGTATTCTCTGAAAATTGATGGCTAGATCTAGGGGCTTCCTCACGCCAGTTTGATTCTTGAAGCACATTTTAGTTTCACTTTGGAACGTGAGTGATGTGCTGGGTGCCAACCATTGGTGAGAGGGCCGAGGAGCATCGGAGGGACTGGTGGGAAGCTGACAAACCCATCACCAGTGAGTGGTAGGAGGGAGGAAAGTGAGCATTTATTTCGTGCCTACCATGTACAGCCCTATGACTAGGTGCTTTTCATGTGGTAAACATGGGTGCTATGTTGTGAATGGGGGACTGGTCCCATTTTCACAGGCAGAAACTGGCGCACAGACAGTTCACAACCTGCCTGTTTCTCACAGTTGACGGGTGGAGTCAGGATATAAACAAAGGTCTGTTTGTTTCTAAAGTGTGTCATTCTCTTGTCCCTGCACACATGGGACCAAGTAGGCATTGGTCATGAGTGCAACTGACCTGATATTGAAAAGGGGGGAAAAAAGGCAATAGCCCAAGGATGATGAGAGAGAGCACTGTCACTGGCCACTGTCCGGAGGTGGAGGAGAATGTGGGAGGAGCCTCTACCCTGCTCCTGTCTCACTGTTGCCATACCTTCTGAGTTTTCAAGAAAGGCCAGAATTTCTATGGCCAGTCTCGAGATTTCAAGAATGTTAGCTGCTATATTCCGATTAAAAATAAACATCGTCTATGCCAACACTCTGGGCCATACCAGACAAAGGTGCAGCCTGCCTCCCCGCTGCCATCCCCGGCTGCTCAGAAGAGTGCCTGTGGCTGCTCGGCACTAAGGCCCGCAGGCGTGAGCCCTCAGAGGCAGGCGTTGGGCTGGGTATTGAAGAAAGGGAACGTTTCACAGCTCTTAAAGACATCAAGTGACAATGAAGAAAACCTTCAAAAGATGAAAGAAAGAACATTTTGACACTGCAAGGAAAAGCCAAATATCTGAAGTCAGAGCAGATTAGACCTTGACAAAGGAACAGCACGTACCTTCTCTTGTCCTCGTGTGCCCTGAGCTCTCACTGGGTCTTGGGTGGCATTCTGAGCACTTGGTAAGCATTTGCAAATTTCCTCTCCTTGAAACCTCATCACAACCCTGTCATTATCCCATCATAGAAAGGTGACATGGGGCTGAGATTCAAACCCAGTCTGACTCCAAAGCCTGCCTACTTGCTTAATGCACCCTTTCCTTCCTTCGATAATTCCTAACTACGCCTTGACTGTTAGAAGCTGGAATTTGCTGGCTTCTAACAACACCTTCTAACAGCCTCCTAAAGCTTTATACTCTGCTCTCTAGAGCCTTCCATGGCAATACTTAGTAGAATCTTTAGGCAGAGCTTGATGAGTCCAAGCTAATTTATGTGCCTTTACATCATCAGCTGGTGTTTGCAACCCAATTTTTAGTTAGATTACTCTACTCCCTCCTCACATGCCTTATTTACTTCTTACTGTCCCAGTAGCAGGTGTATAAGAGAAAAACCAATTTATAAATGACTGTCATTTGTCCTGTTTTCAGTTCAGTGGCAGGAATACTTTAAAAAATGAGTTTATCAATAAAAAATAAAAAACATAATTTCCTCTTTGCTTTGTTTGGAGGCTAGTAATTCCCAGACATCGGATTTAAATTTAGGTAGTCTGCTGAGTAAAGCCGGGAGCTTGGAGTAAGGAAGCCTAGTCGGACACTTGAGTTTCATTACCTTGTGCCAGTAAAAGCCACTTTGTCACAGTTTTTTTGCCAGATAGTTAATAAGCCTAAAGCTGATAAAGACAGTCATTTCTCCCTCTCAGGAAACTTGAGGCTTTCTTTTAATGGGATGAGGTGACTGATGAGGGACTCTGTAGCTTTGGGGAGATAAAAGGCAGGGAGGGCAGTGTGGGCTGCAGGCAAAGAAGGCCCCCACTGGCTCAGAGCATTCACCCCTCAGTGACTGCTCCCTGAACTTGAAGACAAAGACCTTTTCTCCCAGGCAGCTTCCGCCCTCCTTGTCCAGACATTCTGTGAGTGGTCTCCTAGTTACAGGGGCGCAGTGGTCCAGCCCCCAAGCCTGCACCCAGCCCCCTGTCAGGGGACGGATGTTGGCAGATGCAGCTCCTGTGCTATGAACTCCAGGGAATCTGGTGTTCTAAAGTCTCGTTCCCAAGAGCAAGTCCTGAATCCTATAAGGAGTTTGATAAGGAAGACAAGGATGGTTAGACATTGAGCTTGAGGGTACTTTACTGTGGCTGATGGCACTGACATTCTATTTCCATCCAACATCTCCCCATTCCCCTACGTGCCCTCCCCCAGCCCCTGGTAACTATCATTCTATCTTCTTGTCTATGAATCTGACTACTCTTGGAACCTCATGTAAGTGAAATTATACAGTGTTTATATTTCTGTGACTGGCTTATTCCATTTAGCATGAAGTAGAGATAAATGCACTTTAAAATATTTTTAACAAATACTTCGTAGGGAATGGCTGTCAGTTTAACCATCTGGGGAAGTTAAATCGGAGTGTTTCATTAATTGGAACTGCTAGTTTATTGCTAACCTGGCAAGAATCCTAATGGGTATTTAGCACAAAGAAGCCTTATTCAGTAGAATAAGCCTGTTGCTTTTAAAGAATTTTGCTTGAAACCCACAGCGAGTGAGAAATGTTTGTATTTCAACCCAGGACATACACACACTTGTGTGTATATCTGAACTTAAAGTTTCTCAGACCAGCATTTATCCTCACTATGTGAAATGCATATATTTGTTTTCTAAAAAGTGTTTCCCATAAAAAAAGTGCTGATCTTATCCACTAAGTCGAAACCTCATCCACTCAATTGATTTTATAACCTCGGAAAAGGACACATCACACAGTTTGGAGAGCACTGCTTTTGACACACCTGGGGCAGTTTCAGGCCTAGAGTCCCCGGGCCCAGCTCATGGCTTCAGAATTGCTCCTTAGAACAAACAAGTTTTTTTTAAAAAAGCCATCAGTCGTGGCTTTATTTCTGAGTCGGCTCTGTCCCCTGATTTTAATGCTGGCTTCAGTAGAGTTGGTTATAATTGAAAATTCATTCTCAGTGGCTATGCTCTGTCTTGAAGCCAAATATAAATTTCTGCATTAGTGTCACAGGTGGGAACAGGTAACCATGTTCTTGGTGATTGGGACAAAGAATTGAACTGAACAGAGTTTATAGCAGAAAAAGAGAGCAGATTTATTAACTGATAGTGCACTCCACAGAACATGGGAGCAGGCCAACTCTGAGCAGAGATTGACCTCATGGGCTGGAGGGATTCTATTTTTAAAGGGTGGATATTTCCTGGCTAGTTTTGGCAGGCTTTTACTGTGCACGTACAAGTAGTTGTATTATTTTAAAGCTACTGCGCATGTGGTCTCCCATGATTTTCCTTGATTGGCGAAGGGGGTTGCACAATGTTAATTTATCATAATGCCATTGTAATAAAGCAGGGCCATAATAGCATCTTCTGCACAGGTGCATTCATGAGTCACCGTGACTCAGGGCTTTTCCAGGAAGGAGGAACATCAGTCTTAGAACAGGATCTCTGTCCTGGACCCATGAGCTGGTCTGTGGGGCTCCATGGGCCCATTTATAATTTCTGAAGCTTCCTGTGAATGGGGCAGATTGACTTATAAAAATGCTGCCCTGTCAAGATTCGACCCTCTAGGGATGATGATCCAAATTTGTGTATTTTTGGAAGG